TTTTATTTGTATTCTCTCTTGGTGGGAGGAGAAGAGAGCCAGAATGAAACTGCAATTTGAAAGGGATTTTGAAAGCTTTAAGGTCCACTTTCTGACTCCAGGCAATACCAAAAGAATGCAAGTAAATTTTTAGCATCTTGGAAGAAGGGTTAGTGTTTTGAAGTCTTATGAGGTGTTTCTATGTTTTAATAGTGAAATAACCCTTAATATCTGGTTTCAGAAGAGGTTGCATTGGATAAGAGTGTTTTTCTTCTCATTTTTTAATGGAGACTGATGCTCAGGAGAGGGGGAGAGCACTAATAAGGTGCAGCGTATGTACTCCTTGTCATGTGCCAGGAGGGAGCACGCACCATCACGCAGCCTGCCCTCACAGGTCATTAGGCAGCCACAGCCAGCAGTGTCCTTAGCCCTGAACTTCTCTCTGCCATGCCTTCCTGCCTTGTCACAAAATCTCGGTTTACCGTACATCTGTGTAGTGCCCTCTGTCATAAAAAGCTCAAAGTGCTTTGGAGATGCTTACAGGCTGAGTAGTATGCAGTTTTACTAATAGGAAAATCAGGTCACAGGTATTACATGCTTAAACTAAGGTTACAAAAAAAGGTTGTGATGATCAGGAAACTGCCTGGTTCTCTGTTCTAACACACCTCTGAAGTTTAGGCATCCACCCCTCCATACTGAATGCAACACGCATGTTTAAAGTTGCCTGAAACAACCATGCCACCAGGCAAATAGCAAGCCAAATGATCTCTGAGCAACACACTATAGCCTGCTGCTGCAGTGAAATCTCATACTAACATGCCTTGGAATATCAGAAATCACAGTATAACAAAAATTAGCCAAAGCAAATCCGTTAAGCAAGCAGAATGAAGCCTGTTGTGTGATGCACATTGCCATTGATGTTTTTTGTAGTTGTTCCCTTAACATACTAATACCCAACTGGAGATGAGAGCTTGCTGTATATAGGAAAAGGATAGAAAGGGAGGAGTTCCTCTTGTTAAATATTTGCCTTATAGGTCCTAGGTTAGAGGGCAGCTATGGTTCATGCCTGATTCAAGGTCCCAGAAGGACTACTGATAGCTCAGCCCTGGCATAGGGAAGCACGTTGTCCCTCTTACAGCGTTTGTGTAAGCATGGATACAACAGCGTCTCTCTCCAGTTTTAACAAAGCCCCATTGAGATACATAACATGAATACTTCTGTGGTTTACCAGTAGTTGTTGTGGTTCAAGAAGACTTGGAAAGCCTTTCAAAAAGGCCAGGGAAATCCAGCCACGGAAAATGTGATAACAGCACAATGTAGGTATTATCAAGCCACCTCACCTCACAAGTTCAAAGACACTGTAAATAAGAGAATATCTTCTGTCGTGAAAAATTGGAGAGAAGTGCATTAAACTCTTACAGAAGCTGAGCTTACATAGAAGGATTTAAAATCAGTGTAAGTGTGTTTTCTTCAGAGTCTGAGGGACAGTCATGTTGCTTTTACATGAAGCGATAGGTGTAATAGCCACTGTGTCAGGCCAGTTCAAGTTAAAGCACTTGACACCGTACACTTGAGTCACGCACTTCTGGGGTCTCTACGAGGCTGGATTGCGGCTGTTGCTCTATCAATAGGGAAATTGGAAAGAAGATATGGAGGGTGATCCTCCATACCAGCTCTCTTGCCAGTGCTATCCCAAGCACCGAAAATACGGCAAAGAGAGAAAGAGCAGCCCCAGCTTCGTTTCCGCTCCTCTGCCATTGCCCTCTTGTTCAGCTTGTCGTTTGGTGCTGCATCTTTTAATGAAGCCTGTAGGACGTGGCAAATCCAGAAGAGTCATTTGGAGGTCATTTAAAGCTCTTCTGCGAGGTGATCAGTGGGGTGGACGGGTCCTTCACAGGCAGCTCAACTGAGGCTCTTAAGGCAGTGCTGGATATACGCTGTGGAAAGCAGTATATTTCCCTTATTTAGCACATTGGGAAGTGGGACAGTGACTTAATAAGAAGAGTGTTGAGTGAAGAGATGCACAGCAGTGTAAAGTATTTCAACAACTGATAGATAAATGGCATGCCTGGTTTTGTCTGCCAATCTGTTCGCAGTGGTGTGCGGGTGTGAATTAAAGTTTAACTGCATACTTCTTGTGCCCTGCCAGGGTGCGCAGAACTGCTAGGTATTAAATAGTGAACAAATCCTTCATTGTTGTCACTTTCTGTAACTTACAGATGAGACACTTTAATCTCTGCGTGTCTCTGGTCCGTACTGCTGTATTTCAGCAAACTCCTTCATGCGCTTCCAGGTTTCTCCTTTGCTCAGGAGAACCGGGGGAAAGGAGGATAACAAGGTCACCAACAAATGCACACCTGCCTGCTTGATGATCTGCAGCCAAAATCAAAGAAACTCTGGAGGCTCGGTCTCCTGGAATGGAGACGTGTCCTGTAGCAGACAGGCTGAGCGCGGCGTGCCTGAGATACTGCCAGTAGGAAGCAGGGAAGGCTGCTCTGTACAATAATTTATTTTCTTTCATTTTTTGTTTTGCTGCCTTGTTGGCAGGGTTTCTGGAATGTACTTTAAATAACTGAAAGTCCAGCTATTTCAATGAAATTCTTTGAATTATGTGCCCCAAAAGAAAAAGATGGTATCTTGAGTTCAGATCAAGTGCTCTGGTATACTGAAATCACATAGGTGCATGTAAATGTAAGGCTTGCATTTAATACTCCCCATTGTTTTTTGCTCATTCAGCCTTTCTTTGAGGCTGTTTCCAGATCAGAGCTGCAACTGCTGGAGCAGCAACTGTTTCCTGTGTATTTCCAGCCTGATCATTGTGAACGTGATTTTAGATCTAAAGACCATGTTTAATGCACATTATAAAACTATTTAGGGAAGCTTGTACTGTTGTAACATATGTATGTCAGAACTCCAAGTAAGTATGTGACAGGAGAGATGCTCTGATGTGGTGGTAACTGCAGTTGTTGGTGTGTAGAATGATCTCTCAGGGTATTGATTTTGCAGATAGTGACACGATGTTCTTTGTCGGACTGCAGAAACTAGCCACGTTGCCTGTAGCTAACATGGGCTGATGTGATGTCTGCTGCAGTAAACTGCATCTGAATCCATCAGTGTCCTGGCATATTGTCGTTTGTATGAAAATCGGCCAAACCATCTTCTCTAACAGAGCTGGAGGAGAATTGTGTTATAACATGACCCTCGACATAGTTAACCAACCTATGTACGTGAGGATTTAGTAAGTCTCTGAACAGCCCTTTGAATTCTCAAGAGTTAACCATCAGCCAGGTTGACATCTGCAGAACTGTATCAGAACAGCTAATAGTAGCCATGTCTTCTGGAAACAACATCATATTCTGGGCCTTCTGGAAGAGCAGGATGAAGGTGGAACCATTGCTAGATGCAGATGCTGGAATTATTACTACTGATGCAGAAATACTCAGTGGACATCTATGTTTTGTATTTGAAAGATAAAAGATGGTATATTTTTATCACATGAGAAGGATGTAGTAGTTTCCAATCCATTAGTAGCTATGGCAGATGTTAAACAAATTCTGCTAGAGATAAACATCTTAAATTCACCAAGCTGACAAGACTGTACCCGGCAAGAACGTGAGAGCCCTAATGTTATTCCTCTATTAAAAGTGGACGTGTGTGATTGCTCCGGTTACTTCACATGGGTTAGTCTGACAGCAGTGACAAACAAAATAATGGCAGTTATATGGAATTCGGTTAATACATAAGAGGGTAGGAATATACTTCATGCCAGGCAATGTGGGTTGTGGAAACAACAAAAGATTTGTCACATCTTTTTGATGAAAATATGCTTAGTTGATAAAGGGAATGGTGCAAATATTACCTTATTTAAAATTTTACCTCATTATACCTTATTTAAAAATATTACCCTATTTAAAACAGGAGTCCAACACAGGGCCATCACCTCACAGGCTAAATGGATTAAGCAACTGTCTGACTGAAGTAACCGTTAAGGGAGTACTGCCGTTCAATGAAAATGTCATTTTTCTGTTGTGGCTCTGCAAAGATCTGTGCCTGGCACAGTTTAGCATTTTCATTGATGAGCTCCACCCAGTGACTGGAGTAAGGAGTGAATGGCACACTAAAAAGATCCCTTGGTAACTAATTACAATGCTTCAGCACTAATCTTAGTGGACTGTAAAAAGCAGCTTATTGAAGACAAAAATACTGCTTGTGGGGCAAGCCGACATACCAAACTAAAAGGCAATTAAGTTTCCTGAAGTTTATTCACCATTATTGTACAGAAGAGTACAAAGAGCTTTAGAGACTATCAAAGGGACGTTATCAGGGGATCTCTGGAGTGTGGCTTTGGTTGTGGACTGGAAACTGGGCAGTAACTTCTGCAAATGAAGATACAATGGGATTCTTTAAAGGGAAACTTAAAGGGAACAGTCTATAAGGCCCATTGCATTTTCTATGAGTACATATTATTCAGAAGTCTGATTCAGAATGTATTATAATGGCATGAGAAAAATCAAAGCAGTATTATAGAATTATAACACCAAACTTATAGGCAAGTAACAGAGTATTTATTATGGTTTTAGTAATACCAGGCAATGTACATATGTGGATATTTCATAGTCTTTTAGGAGAACTGAGGATAATTTTTTTGTTGTTCTTAATCCAGGTTTAAGAATCTTTGTTTCGTTAATTTCCTGCAGACATCCCTGCAGTTGTAGTATAGGTAATTTCACCATAGTATCAATAAATTAATTAATAAAGAAAGACTTGCTGTAGTTTCCTTAAAGAGATTTCTGAATTTTTAGGTTGTAACATAAAATTTAGTGTGTTTCAGGGTATAAATCTGTAATTTAATCGCCGGGGGAATCATTTATGCATTAAAAATTACACTGTATAAAAAGAGAAACAACATTTAACCCCCTTTTTAGTCAGTGCTCTAGTTCAGAATCTCAGTTAACAACAGCATGCATCTGCAGTGCATAAGATTTCAGCTGAGACCATCTTTATAATTTATTGCATTTCAGGGACAGTTTTGTGATTATTGCAATGCTGCTGATCCCAGTAAAGCTCACCCAGTAACCAATGCAATCGATGGCACGGAGCGCTGGTGGCAAAGTCCTCCTCTTTCTATGGGCTTGAAGTACAATGAAGTCAACGTCACTTTAGATCTGGGGCAGGTAAGTGCATGAGCTATTGGGTGAGGTTTGATCATTTCTTGCATTTATATACAAGCTTTGCAATTGGGAGAGATGTTTGATCTGATGATTTTAACTTCCAACACCACAGCTTTTTTGTCTGGTTTGTGTTCTGTATATTTTTACCAAGTTAACTTTATTAAAGTGATTATTTTCCTTCAGGAATGTTGATGTTGTGGGTTCTTGCCACTGTTACCACGCAGATTTAATGACTGTGTGCTTTCTTGCACTGAGACTGTAACTCGTTAACCGGAGATGACAGGGGGGACTGCTCAGTTGAAACTAGGGCTCTACCTTCCATTTCATATTCTCCTTTTCCATGGGCACAGACGGGGAGAGATTCCATGATCTCTTACCATGCACACATTTTGAGAATAATGTTTGGAGTCTACTTTTCCCTCAGGGGTCCTTCTGGTTTCTCTATCATCCAGCAAAATCTTCAAGATAGACAGAAAAATACTGATAACATGGTCTAAAAGGGAAGGTACAGCAAAGCCAGTGTAATATGAATTGGTAATATGACAGTAACATGAACACCCGTATTTCCTCTGCAGGCGATAGGCAAGTAGCTAACAGTAAAGCCTCTGTATCTGTATTTTAAGTCATAGGGACGGATTCTCAGCTGCCATAATTGGGCGCTGATCCAGTGAAATTAGTTATGCTCTGCAAGTTCACACCAGCTGAAAATATATCACTATAAATATATGTTGGGGGCTGCAAAATACATGTATACATTTACATATATATTTTGGACAGTAGTAACTGTTTATTCCCTGATTATGTAGGACAGGATTTTTTTGAGTAGCCGTTCAGTTTAGTTGACAGCTAGGAGAGGAATAGTTAAGGAGAAATGTTTCTCTGTGAGACTTAGCTGTCGTTTTGTTGGGGATTCACATGCAAATAGTTTTGCATCTTCTGTTACATGAGGCTTTTAATGCTCCTGTCCCTTACATGACTGGAATGGTTCTCATTTTGAGGATATCTTCATTCAGCGTTTTTGGATCCAGTGTAGCCACAGTGCAGAAAAGACCAGACAACTTAAGATAGAGAATATCAGTAGTTAAACTAAACTGCTGTGATTTTTGAATTTACATTTCTATTAATTAAATTAATAACATGCCTGTTTTCTTGGTTGCTTTTCTCTACTGTACCACAAAAAGAAGGGGGAGCTATGTAGAAGCTGATGAATTATTAGGCCACAGTGTCCACATTAGCCTAACCCACAGTGGTTGGACCTATCTCTGAGTTGTGTTGCTCTTTCTGTTATGCTGTACAGTTGAAGCGTGTTGTGTGTGATGTGTGAAGTGAGTTACTCAGTCATTCTTTCCCAGCAAACTATAGGGAAATATGTCTTTCAGGCTGGGCATACAGAGTAGGGACACTGAATGCAGAGCAGGGTGCTATGAATAGACATGGGAAGGCAATCCCCTCCCAGCAGAGCAGGCCTTACCTTCTGAGCTGCTTGCATCCCTCGTGGTCTCTGCAAGATGCAGGATTAGGTGGCAGGCTGTAACTAGTCTTACAGTGTATTTGTGACCAACACTTGTGCATCATTGACATCTACTTGTGTGGCACGTTGCTCCATCCAAAACTGCTGTTCCCACTGTGTACTTGTTAGCTTCTCTGGAGGACCTACTGACAGACACCTTATCTCTTACGTGTTGAGTAAACTGAGAAACCTGCTTCCTTCAGAGGAAAGATATGAACTGTGTGCCCTCTTCTCATGGGACTTCTTGGAGACCAACCGCTGTGTGCTAAAATTCTTGTAGTTATTAAAGAATTTCTCAGCAGGAGGCTGTGTGTTTCTCTTTACTCTGGTACCACTTGGAAAGGCGACTGAATTCCCTTACTTGGAAGCGAGGGAAACCCAAGACAAAGGTCAAAATGACTTCAGGTCTTGTGATTGGGAAAGGATCATTTTAGTTGGTTGATGGATGAGGGTTTAGTAGGATTCATGTGATTTTTCTTTTTTCTCCCCCCACCCCCCCCTTCACTGACGTTATGTCATATCTGCGTTCAGCCAGTTAAACCTTAATCTCAGGTTTTGTTTGAACTTGAGATTCACTTTTGACATTTTGCCTAGTATTCTCACACATCAAATTCATACAGTAGTGCACAATGGTAATAAGAAGAAAAATACTGTGACGGAGTAAGTCTACTCAAGCCAACAGGTAAACGCTGAGACCTCAGTTCACCTTACCTTATTTCTGGGTCCTAAAAATGAAGAGCTTAGTGCATGTGAGTCATGCAAACTTTCTCAGTAGTTGACAGACAGAAATTTTCAAGGTGCAATTCTCCCTCAAGTGAGCTGAAATGAAGGTTTTGGGTTTTAAGGAAAAAGAAATGTTATTAAAATTAGATGTGTGCCTAAATACCTTGCAGCACTACAGGCTGTGATATTGAAAAGATAGCAGGGATGTAGTTTTCCTCACTGAGTAGTGGTCTTGTTCTTTGTTTTGACACAAGGCACCTTTTTCTGCAAACAAAATATGGAAATGTTTTTGCATGTGCGAAACATGACAAAGAGTAAGGTACATACATGTGCAGGGAAGCAATGACTGAGTTGTAAGTTGGTCATCAAATATTCACAATTAGAGGAAGCAGAACTTAGTGCAATGTCAAAATCTTTTCATTTACTGCAAAAAAAAAATCTCTAAGACTGAGAGTGGAATCCCAGTGGAGCCTTTTGCCATGGTCTGATGACAATATTTAACGGAATAGTTGCACCATGATGGAAGTTTGAGCGCTCACTACCATGGAGTTGGAACAGAACACCCACCTACTCCTGCTTCTGTTTCAGAATGGCTAGGGTTGATTTTGAAAGTCAAATCCCTTCAGGATGTTAAATCTTTTTGCTAGAAAAATGCTTATTTTGCTGTACTTTGTAATATGAGGAAAATCGAAAACCTTAAAGCAAAAGCCCTGCTTTACTTCCCTTTGTGACTTTCTGTACTATAGTTACATTTCTAATCAATCACAGTGCTTCTGAATAATAATAATTATAATGTTGATCCCTGAGGCAGTCTCTCCATCCTTTTGACATACCTGCTTATGCTGTGGCTATTCCTGACTTGTTTAAAGTATTTGGCTCAAATGAAGTCTCATTTATTCCTTTAATTGGTCCTGATTTTCCCAATGTAGTTTTCAACATATTTTAAACTTCTGAATTCAGAATGTCTGACTGAAGTTCATTGCCCTTCCCCTGACTCTTTGAATTGCCTAATTTTAGCAGGTGTGCCCTCATCTTTGGCTTGCTTAATGCTCAGCAGACATTACAGTAGTCCAGTATCTACATTACAGTCCCCCAGGTATTTTTCTGAACTCTGTCTTCAGAAGATGAAGGTTCAGGATAGCATGATAGTGTATGATGAAAAAGAAATGTCTAACTGTTGTAGTTCAAAAAGTGTAGTCTTAGAATTTTATTGCTGCTTTTAGTTACGTGTCATTTTTTTACTGTGCTTTTGTGCAATACTGCAGAGCTGAAAGACTCAAGCTTGGTGAAGTCTTGTGCACTAATATGTTGAATAGTTTTTATGTAGCGATATTATTAGTCACTGTTGTAAATTAAAGGCACACAGTGGAATGTAATGTCCAAATTAGTACTTTTATTAGGGAGAGAGGGGAAATTCAACCATAAATTTAAGATAAGTGGTATGGCTTGTGGAGGACTTTATGCTTTTATGTTATCTGCCAGTTAACGCATGTAAACATTTTGTAAAAAAACCTCGCAGTTTGGCAAATCTTCTCAGTTGCTTTTATATGGTATTTCTTATGGGTTTAATTTTTATATTTGATAGCAATCCTTGATGTCCATAGCTTTACAAACAATATTTGTTGTTGGGAATATTAATCAGCTTTGCCTAATTGTTGTTATTAAAAACAATTGTTCTTAATTTACGAAAGACTGATGTACTTTCTTAAAATGTGTCTGAAGTTACAGTTAATTTAACTGTCATTCTATAAAATATAAAGTGTCCTGTAGACCCTTCTCCCATAGGGACAAACTGTCAAGATGGTGGAAGATTTATCATAAGCTGCATTGAACTGGGTTTCCAAAAATAGGCACTGCATTCATTGTGCTTGACTATTGAAGACTTTATATTACTGCTGACCCTGAAATTAGACCCATCTACAGTGTGCGATTGCATAACCTCTATAATAACACCGAGAAGTCCTACAAATTAGGGCACGCGAACCACTGCATAAAGCTTCTACAGAACTGCCCCAGCAGTGAGACAAAGCCTTTTCTCTGGAAGCCCTGCACAGCTCTGCCTCCACAGCAGCACTGACCCTGGCTCTGCTGTTTTGGTTCACACTGGGGAGAAAAGGGGCTTTTAGGTCTGGGGAAGGTACAATGTTGTCACTGCAGTACGGAAAACCAGGGATGCTAACAGCACAGATAATCTTGTGTCACTTTGTATTAGAGAACTCTGGTCCCGAGTATTTCAGTTTGTGCAGGAAGCTGATTTGGGATTGTGCCACAAAACACTGTGCTTTGAAGTTAGTTGATTTTGGCTCATACCACAGTAAGGTGAATCTGCTTGTGAACTCTAGATTAACACAACTTCAGCTGATCAAATAGCAGCCATCTGATAGAAGTTTCTAAAAGTTATATCAGGTAATGCACGCTCCATTTATTCCTTGGTCACACTACAAGCAGCTCATTGTGAGCTGAGCTGCTAGCTTTAATCAGGGAAATACGCTAAATACATCCTTTAGTGCTTGTGTTATCCTTTAAGATGCAGTCAATGTGTCGTGTTTTCTTAAAGATTTAGTCAAAGATCTTTGGAATGGCTTAGCATTTTTTTTCTTATGTTTGCGTTAATAGATCTATGTCATTGGCTTTAAAATGTGATTTTGGTACTCATTTGGTATTATTCTCAAAATATACAGAAAAAATCTTGTAAATCTTGCTCTCCTTCACTTTCCTGACGCTGTCTTCCTCTGGTTCTTCAGCATCCCTTTAGGAAGGTCTTTGTTCC